CCGATGTTACATTCATCAAGAGCTTTCATTTGAGTACCCCCAATACATGCATTTTTATATATTTTTCATATATTCATATATATATAATATATATAAATATATGAAAAATTGATGTGGGTACTCAAATGAAAGGTCTCGATGAGTGTAACATCGGGATGAGCTTATATCTTTAAAAATGTCAATATTTCACAAGATACAAGATCATTTCTCAATTATATATCTAGAGATAGAGTATTTTCAAATGTAGCCTAAATACTTATCATAATAAATTGACTATATCGGTGAGAATGATATGAAACCTTGAAAAGGTACAAATTCAAGTCAAGACCTTTGCAATGACACTAAATTTTACTAAAAAAATCGATTTTAAATTTATATTCAATTTTTTGTTTCATCACAAAGTTTTATAATATATATTTAAATGAAAATTACCTCTATTTTGCGTAAAAAATTAGTTGGAACAGTTTTTTTATTTATTCGCGCCATTTGTTGGACTATTACTTCAGCTTCGTCTATCCTATTTTTACTAAGAAGCCATCTAGGAGACTCTGGAATTATCCACCAATAGCTGAATAGTAAAATAAAAGGTACCGACGTTGCTAGAGACAGCGCGAACCAATTTCTTAAAAGATATCCCTGAAAAAAAAAAACTTAATTTATTCTAAATAATTTACATCAATTAATGTTTGAGGAGGTTTATTTAAAAAAGCGGCAAGATCAATAAAAATTAAGTGAAGTGGATTAAAAAATTTATGAATATAAATTTGTTTTTAAGTTTGTTTGATAATCTTCAGAAAAAACAACTTAATGTCTAAGTCAATACACTGAAAATGTTTCATTATGCAAAAGTTGTTTAATTAAAATTAATTTTACGAGAGAATATTTAAATGTTTGGAAAATAAATTTGAATAATTGTTAATAAGTTAATTTGAATAAATAATTATTAGTCTTACCAGCAACGCGAGAAGACACATGGCGGTGGCAAAAAACATACAAATAACCATTCCCGCAAAAGTTCTGTACCTTGGACCCATTAGTTCCAACACTGAAATACAACCAAACAATAACTTAACAATTAAAAAGGATTATTGATGCGCGGTTAGTTGCAAATCTCACCAAGAATGAACGGTATTTGATATATGGCAGGAAAAAATAGACCGTTGACAGTCCTAAGTGCTGTGTACACAACGTAATTAGGACTAAAACTCGTTGCTATTGAAAATATTACTTCTAGAAAGAGTATCGCGAAGAAAGCTGTTCTTCTGCCCCATTTGTCAGCGATCCATCCGAACACTACGTTGCCAAACAGACTTCCGACGTAGAAGAATGTCGTGGATGTAGATGGTAGCCAACTGTTGTCACATACCAGATCTAGCTACGTGGATGCAAAATGCCATTAAGACCAAAAAATTCATTATTAAAATTAAGCTAATAGTAATTAGTTCTTCTTTTTTATTGCTAGACAAATTTTTAACTTCCCGCTATCAAAATCAATACTCTGATAGAAGGATTTCGTAGTATTTAAAAAATGATATTTAAGAAATGATTTCTTAAATACAAAGAAATCTTCTTAAATGCTAATAAATCCTTCTATCAATGTAATTAATAAAAAATCGGCAAGTTATTTATTATGTAATTAAATTGTAATTGTAATTAAATTGAAGATTTTTATAAGGTACTTGATTTATTTTTTTTTAATTTATTTGTGTTAAAAAAATTTATTTCATAATTATGATTTTTTTTTATAGCAATTTTTTTAAGACCAAAAAATTTATTCTTTAAATTAAGCTAATTTAATTGTAATTAGTTTCTTTTTTATTTCTAGACAAATTTTTTAACTTTTTATCAAAATAAATGATTTAAAAAAAATCGGAGTTACTTATTATGTAATTAAATTGAAGATTTTTATAAGGTACTTGATTTATTTTTTTAAATTTGTGTAAAAAAAATTTTATTTCATAATTATGATTTTTTTAAAGCAATTTTTATTAAGACCAAAAAATTCATTATTAAAATTAAGCTAACTTAATTGCAATTAGTTTTTTTTCTTCTTTTTTATTTCTAGACAAATTTTTTAACTTCCCGCTATCAAAATCAATGATTTAAAAAAAAAAATCGGCAAGTTATTTATTATGTAATTAAATTGAAGATTTTTATAAGGTACTTGATTTATTTTTTTTAATTTATTTGTGTAAAAAAAATTTATTTCATTCTTATGATTTCTTTTAAAGCAATTTTTTTATTAAAATATTTAATATTTTAATTTTTTTTAATCATAAAAAATTAAAAAAAAAATGACTAATAAATTTTTTTTCCGTAGAAAATTTAACTTTATAATATAATTGTTACAAAAAAAAAAAAAAAAATTTAATACATTATTGCCAAAAAATTTGAATGATTTGTAGATAAATATATTAAAAAACTATCTAAGTTTTAAAATATAAATAAAAGAATAAAATTCATAATTAAAATAAATTTTTTATGCACGATATATTGATTATCTTTTATCCTATGCATATTTTAAAGTTTAATAAATAAATAAATAATTTAATTAAAACTTTTATCGATACAAATTTTAAATAAACTAATTATCCAGGCATGTATCCAAATGCTTTTTATGAATTATTTATGAAGTTTTTTATTATTTCACTTTTTAGACAAGCTGCATTCGATACTATTAGCATATAAATAGACGAGAAAGTAATTTCTCTTGATATTGAAAAAATTAGAATATTTTTTCTCGCTCTAAAAATTGATTAAAGTTTAAATTGAAGAAATTAAAGAAATTAACCGCAAAAATTACGAAAGTTAATTCGATGAAAAGTTTTTACAGAAAAGCCAATGATTGATAAGAGCGTAAAGTAGTTATGACAGGAACCGAAGCTGATTGATGAAGCTCACACATAACAGTGTTACGGTATAGTATGTAATCGGTGAATATATGTAAGTACATAGATATGTATCCACAGAGTGATTGAGGAGTGGAAAAGGAAGAAGAGAGAAAAACATTTTAATCAATCATTCTCGACATTGACACAAATAAATGTATTAACTAATCGTATAATATAAATAAGATTTGTCCAAGTGTCATCCCTGCAGATAGAGACAGTCTATAAATCTAAATATTTAAAGCGGGATTATTTATATTGGAATTAAATAGCGCGAGCGGGATTAATTTTATCAGCAAATTTTATACCGGGATGGAAAAAATATATGTGTATAAAAAACTAACGGTGAGAGTTTATTGCTACTGGTACAATTAGTTGAAGTTTGTCCGGACGATAACAGTGTGTGTAGGCTCCCACAGCAAGAGATGTCCATCACCGTCAGTTGACAGGAGGAGCGTGTCCCTCTATGTACTTATTCGGTACGGTATACCGTATCTACACTATCTCGTAGCCCTCTTTGAGTAAACCCGCATTTAACCCTTCTTTCGTGTCTGTATGGGTAGGCACTACTCCATTCTTTTACCACTTCAAACTTCAGCCTTATGCTCTTATCATTATAACACTATCATTATACTACTGCCCAATACTTTTATTACTCTCATTATATTTATTATAATATATTTCTTCTTCTAGTTTATGTCTTTCTTTATTGTATATTCTCCTTTATCTTCATCGTAAATTTTTTTTTTTTCATTAATATAGCAATTTAATATTTTTATTACAAATTTTCTCACCTTAATTACAAAAGAAATCTTGGAAAATTAAACGAGAATATTAATTATTAAATTATTACAATGATAAAAAAATTAAATTTATTCATTAATTTTGAAGTTTTTTTCAGTCAAGACAATTTTATTTTTTTAAGATTTTTTTTGGATTTAAAACAAAAAAATTCTTCAAAACAATTTTTTTAATTTAAAAATTGTTTTTTTTTTTTTAATATATTTAAAAAAAAAATTAATTTGAATAAAAAAAAAATTCTTGAAGCAAGAAAATAATTTTGAATCATCCCCAAAATAATTTTTAAATCTCGTTTATATATTTATACTAATCTAAAGCTTTAGATTTCCGAGATTTAGAGGGAGGAAAAAAGGAAGATATGTTAGAAATTTAATGAATTTGTAATTGTCATTAAAATATTGAAAGTGTCGAAAATTAATACGAATCTAAAGTTCTAATATTTAACTCCTAAATGAATACATGCTAATAGCGTGTATTTTTTCTCGATCTCCCTTACTTGATCTATCTTTCTCACTAACTCACTTCCACCTCTCGCTCCATGGCATTGTGCGTGATGCGACGGTCGCTCTATCTCACTCTCTCTCTCTCGATCTTTCTCACTCGCTATATTGCTCATCCTTAAAAAGAGTTATAGTTTTAAGCCGTCGTGTCATTTATGGTAGCTTAGCGGTATAATGCATTATTCCGTCCGAGCAAAAGTGGCAGGTCGCGGGTTCAATCCTCGGCGGTTGTGCAAAAAAGGGTTTTTCCATTCACCACGCTGATTAATTAGCGGGGATAGACGGAGGGTATCCTTAACGACCCTTTTGACGACATTTCAGCCGACCAAGTTATCGGCCGTAGCAGGTTGATGCCATTCCTATTGTATTTGTTAGAATTAAAATATCTACACAATGTAAACAAATTTTTTTTTTGTCCTCGCTGGGAATCGAACCCGCGCTCTCCACTCGAGTGGCATCTTAATGAAAGTGGTTCAACGCATTGAACCACTGAGCCAACACCGAGGGTTGGCAGGGAATCAGGTTATATTCAAATTATTCAACATGTGATTAACGAAAATAATTTAAAATAATTTTTAACTACTTGTAAAAAAATAATTAAACAAATATTTTTTAAAGATTGTACTTAAAGTTTTTCAAGTTTTTTTTACAAATGAAAACTTTCTTTTATTTTTTTGTAATAACTTTTTTAATAAAAACAAAATCCGAAAAATTTTTAGATGTCAGCTAACGTAATTTTTATTAATAATTGTATTTTCAGAAAAGACGCTACATGCAAAGAAGAGAGATATTTTCAATAATAAATAAATAAATAATAATTTAAAAATTTTAATTCTATAGTTTCTTCTCTTACTTCCTCGGAAATTTTATTGTACCAAACTAAACCCCTGTATGTGATAGTTTTTATTATTATTATTATTATTATTGTTGATTATTTATAGGAATAGTGTTATAAATAGTGTTATAATAAACGTTAATAGTTCAAAAAAGACTGGCTGCTTACAAGTAGGCAGTAAAACAATAATCCTTATTGGTATTTATCCACAGATTCGGTAGAATCTGGCGCCAAGTTCCGTTCAAATCCATTGTCAACGGAGCGCCAGACTACCGACTGTGTTTACTGTAAGCAGAACGGTATTTTGAGGTTGCAAAATTTTATTTAATTCTACGGTAATTTTTTTTCCTAAATTTTATATTATAACAGTAATTCATACTTTATTTTACTGTTATTAATTAATTATATTCACTTATAACAATTAATCTACTTGAAATTAATAAATTTAATCAGCACAAACTATAGCAACGCAAAAATTTCGATCCTGACTTTTTTTCGATGGACAAAGTGATCTGCCACAGACTAAATAATTCGAAAATGCATAGTAATCCTTCATTAGATGGAAAACTACAGTTAAAAAAAGATATTTCACAACTTGCATCTACACCCGCCAGGGTGCGCTAGAATTATTTTTACATAAACTGTAGCTGCAAGGGAATAGTTTGCTATAAAAATGCAGCCAACGCGAGATTTAAATTGATACCAATTGTAAATTTTTACTAAAATTACAAAAAATACTAAAATCCGAACAAAAAAAGTTTCACTGTAAAAAAATCGCGCCAAGTCCACCAAAAAAAATTTTGTTGTAAATTTAAAAATAAAAAAAAAAAATTAAAAAAAATTTTTTTGTAAATTTAAAAATTAAAAAAACAATTTTGGAACGTACTTGGTGTGCGTCATATTGTGTATTTCAATTTTTTTAAAGTCCTAGTAAATAGATTTTACGAATTTAGTTAAAAGTAAAATATTTTGCAACCGCGCACACTAAATACGTTCCAAAATTGTTTTTTTAATTTTTTTATTTTATATTTTTTTGTAAAGAAAAAAACTAATTTTTTTTTCTTAATAGTCTTATGAACGTGGACTTGGCGCGATTTTTTTTTTACAGTGAAACTGTTTTTGTTCGGATTACTAACATATTAAATCGGATAACTATAGAAATATATATAAGTATGCATGTTTGCTCCAGTGATTTAACTTTCAACAATTATTATTATCACTATTATTATTTAGTAAAGATAAATAAATATTGTTCTGAGCTGAACTCTCCCGATATCTTATACCGATAAAATATTATGGTGAAGGAATAATAATAAAAAATTATTCAGTTTTCAAGAATTTGGATCGGGAGAGTTCGGCTTTTTGTTATTATTAGTATTATTATTATTATTATTATTATTCTGGATTTAAAACTAAAAATTCTTCAAATAAATTTCTTTATTTTAAAAATTGTTTTTTTGACTATATTTAAAAAAAAAGCAATTTGAATCAAAATAAAAATTCTTGAATCAAGAAAATAATTTTGAAGAGTTTATTATTATTCATTTAATTTATATGCCAAGGCATTAAGCCTAATAGCAAGTACAAAATATAATTATCTTGTTTAACTGTCTTGAATCAGGTAAAATTTACTCAAATAAAAAAAAATTTCTTAATTTAAGAAATTTTATACTCAAATCAAGAAAATAAGTTCTTCAAAATTATTTACTTGATTCAAGAAATTTTTTTTTTTCCGTATATAATTACACTTCTTTATATTTAATTACCTCATTAATTTTAATTTAATAACTAAAAAAAAAGTTTAATTAACATTAAAATATCTAAATAAAATAATCCGTTACGATAATTACGGATGTACCAAGAGCATCATTTTATAATTTCCAACTAAATTTTAAATAAATTAACTAGATAATACCCTACTCTAAACTAAACCCAATCTTAAGTAGCCATGTTAAATTTGTACAATCACTGCACCAATTACTGTACTTAGTAGCCTGTAATCATTGAGTTTCAACTGTACATTTATTTATTTTTACATTCATATCCCACTAAATAAAATTTAAAATCCCTTATCTTTTTACTCCCTTCAGTCCGTATTCTTCATTATTCTTCTTACTTAATCCTTATCTTACTAATTACTCCCCAGTGCATTAAATTAACTAACATAAAAGAGAAAGAGGGTGTTTTTTTAAAAGTCGTTTGAAGAATCGGAAGTAACAAAGCGGAAGGACGTTGGATGTTGAAACTTGGTGGATGTGCGTCAATGCAGCGATACGAGTACCAAGTAAGTACTGTAGTAACTTTACTTTGTATGTATATATGTATGTATGTATAAATAATCTAGGTGTATTACTATTATAAAGTGGTGTAGTACTCTCTGGTGGCTTGGGTGAGTGTTTGATGTGTGTCATATCACATGACCGGATATGCGGGGGTAGGTAAATTGGTCGGCAATTGCTGACGCCACTAGAGCCTGAAAATCCTATCGGCCAGTCACTCCGTATCAACTATTTATCTACATACCTGGATCACTCTTTTCAAGGTGAATGCACTCTTATATCATTATTATCATTAGCCTTGTTAATATAAGAGCTTTTATGCTAAAGACTTTCAAAAGTAACTCCTGAATTTTATTTTTTAAAAAAATAACAGACTTATTTAGAAATCTATCTGTTGTATATACAGTAAAAAATTTCCGGTAAAAAATATTTAACACCAAGTTTTTTGACGCAATGACGTAAAATTGTTTACTGTGTAGCCGGTCACATGTCGTAATTTTAAAAAAATTTTGTGTAATAGATAAATCTATTAATTTGATCTTAAACTTCATTTAATTACCTTCAATTTAAGCTATTATTCGTCTACTTTTGATTATTTTTTTAATTAATTCCCTAATTTTGAAAAATTTTTTAATGAACGCGTTTCGGCTCTTTTTCTTTAAATAATTTTTAAGGCGAAAAATATAGCTTAAATCTATTAAATTTATGTTAAAATTCATATAATAATCTTCAATTTAAGTTTTGGTACTCTTTTCAATTTATTTCGTAGTTGGAAAATTAAAAAAAAAAATCAAGAATAAATTAATTTTTAGCTCTACATCGTCAAATAACTTTCATTTATTACAAATCCTATTTTTTAAGTAGATCTTTTTGAATATTTATTTTAATTATTTAGTTATTTGCAAAAAAATAATAAAAAATCAATTTTAGAAAATTATTGCCTTTTTTTTGAATTAAAAAATATTTTATTTTAAAATTCCGGTCTCTGTTTGAATGACTTGTAATGTAATAAAGCCATTAATTATCTCTTGCACTTAGAATAAATGATTAGCATTTTAATTGATTGTTGACTTGGAGTTACGGGATATTTATTATTTACTATAAATTGTATGAATATTCTAATTAACTCGCTCACCATTCACTGTTTTGTCGGCAATAAATTATTTCATACGAGTGTTAGTCAAGTCAACAATTATCTACTTTTTTAATTATTCTGTTTGATGATTAATTGATTTTAAAGATTGTAAACTATTAATATTCAAATAAGTGACTCTTATTTTCTACAATTTTTATTTTTTTACAGTTAATGACTTAAAAAAAATTATTTTATTTATTTCAGTGATTTTAAGGCGATAATTTATTTTAAAAGAAAAAATACTTTTTATATTTTCTAAATCTTGGAGAATTAAATGCAGACTTTACTTTACGATAAACTTGAAGTAATTTATCATAAAAATTGTATGAACGTCTTAAAATAATCCACGTAAAAAGTCTAATCATACTTTTTATTAATGTTTATTAATAAAAAATTTTAATTATAATTTTTATTAGCTTGTTTTTATTTAAAATTGAAGGATAAACTTTTTAAAAGAGTGAATTAATTATTTTTTACTATAAAAAATATTTTTTTAATTATAAAAAAAAATAAAATAAGGATTTATGGGATTAATTTTGATTTTAAAATAATTTTTGCACCGCGCTTAAACTTACGGCAATTTATTTTATAATTAAGATGTATAGCGTCCAGAAGATCTTTGTAATTTTCTTAAGAATAAATGATAAAGTCTGACAATGAGAATAAGTTTTAAATAGACAGGCCAGTGAAAGGCCAAGGCGATGACGATGAGTTACAATAAAATGTCATATCACGTGAAATTATAGTCGCGTGTTAGAGTTATACGGGACAAATTAGAAGCAACCTAATCAACTGTTATTACCACTTGCAATGTCTACAAAGTGTGTGTGAAATAATCCTCCCGAGAAATTATGCAAATAAAAATTACTGACAAGTGTCAGATCCCGAGCTCAAGACCACCTACTCATAGATCTCTCCATTTCAATACAAATTATTCTCGGCTTTCGTTAATTTACAATGATCTAATGTAATTTCTCTTTGATGGGGGTATATAAAATAAAGAAAAAGAGTTTACCTCTGTGACGAGAGTGCTGTCGTAGTCTCGTTTGTCGTAACTCCACCCGTAGATGCACTTGGTGACGGGCCATTCCCTTTTGCTGACGGGGGTGGGAAACTGCGCGCTCGAAATCCCGTCGTTCGCCAAATAATTTACTTGGTGCAGCCATTCTTCTATTATCGAGGTGTAATTTACGTCGTACATGAAACACCTTGAGTACTGACGTTTGCCGTCTGATCTTACAGTGTAGGGTAACGATAACGCCTTACGTTCGTCTAGTGTCATGTAACTTGTTACATTTTCTAGCTCTGGTATCCTGCACCAATGATCTGGTGTCGCACTTACAAATACCTGAAATTTTTCATCATTTATTTTAATTATTACACGAAAAAAAAAAAAACAGTAATACACAGAAAAAAATATTAAAAAAGTTTGGAAAATCCAAAAGTGCACGCCTCATAATACTCATTCATTTTTTAAGAAAAAATAAATTGTGTAATTGATTAAAAAAGAAAAAAAAATTATGATTAAGTAATTTCTT